CACACTCTCTCAGCCTCAGAGGAAGGCAATGGCAAACCTCCTCTGAATGAGCCTTGCTAAGAAAACCCCATGATAAAGTTTGCCTTTGTCTGGAACAACTTGAAGGCACACCACCACCACCATAACAGAACACCTCTCCCTCCAGGTGACACCCCCGAAATGAAGCCTGAAAGGCAAACACACACACAGTGGCATCACTAGGGGGATGCGGTGGTGCAGCACGCACTGGCTGACACCCCAAAAGAGGGGTGACACAAAGTTGGGGGGCCCTTGATGTCATCAAGTTGTGTTCTCAAAGGAGGCCACATGCACTCCCTTCCCCTCATGCCATCCCATCCCATGCTTCTCCTCATGAAGAGAAGGACAGGATGGGAGGAAGCGCACGCTGCTCCTAGAAGCACTACCCCTAAAGCCCAGACTACAATGCCCAGCATTCCATAGCATGGAACTATAGCAGTTAAAGCAGGGTCAAACTGGATTATTTCTGCCATGTGGACGCAGCCTAAAAGGAAATTAAAACAAGCATGGTGGGTCTGGGCCCATGGAGGGGAGGTCTCTGAATCCAGATAAGTCCCATGATAGTGGTGAAGAGAACTGACACACCGCTATTTGCCTTTGGAAAGCTTCCCCAGCAAGGGAGCTGACAGAGAACCGGTGTGTGTGGATATGAGAGAACACTGGTGTGTGGGTATGTGTGTGTGTGTAGTGTGCACCAGGTGACACCCTAAGGGAGAGTGACACCACTGCTCCTCAGACATCAGCTTTTTGGTAAAAATGGGCTGTGGCATTCACTTGTGTCCCTTTAAAATACTGAAGATAGTGTGAGTGGGAATGAGGCTCAGTGGGAGGAGAAAGGAGAGGCCCCAGGTTTCTTTTAAATTTATTTTTTTTAATTTTTTTAAAAAAATAAATATTAAAAAAATATTTAATTTTTTTTCCTTTAAAAATATCACATTTTACCAAATTTTTACTTTAACAACACGAAACTATGTATATGTAAATACATTTAGGCTGTGCATATGATGTTGTAATTTAAAGGTATAA